AAGCTGGAATTCCAGCCCCCATCCCCCTGCCCCTTGCTGGGAATGATGATGATGATGAAGGAATGTGGCCATCAACCTGCTGTTAGCATCCCAGGGCAGGGAGCAGGGCATGGCTCTGCTGGTAGATGCCTGCTCTGGCATATGGGTAGACATCAATAAGGTGGATCAAAATCTAATCTAGAATATAGAGAAATTTTACCCAGGATATATACCTATTAGTTAGAATATGTAATAATCTTGTCTATAAAATATATAGAGAGAAATCTAATCTAGATATGGACACATGAGAATATTAGCTAGAGAAATCTTACCTAAACTCATCTATAGTAGCCAGAACATACAGAAATCTTGTCTATAATATATAATATATAGAAATCCCATCTAGAATACAGATATATTAGCTAGATTATGTAGGAATCTAACCTATAATATATGTATATGAACTAGAATACATGGAAATCTTGTCCAAAATAGACACATATTAGCTGGACCAGGAAGAAATCTTACCAATATATACTTATTAGCTAGAATATGTTGTATGTGATTAATGCACCATAATGCAATGTAATGCAATATGATAGAATGCAATATAATTACTAGAATAGAATAGATGTAAAATACATCTGTGGGTCATATATAGATGTCTGTTATATATCTTACAGCTCTACATACCAAGTGAAGTGCTGCACCCCCAGGGCAGCCTGGAGGGGCTGGATGAGCACCCCCTAAATAATGGGTGTCCCCGAGGGCCTGGGGGGGGGGCAAAAGACCCCCAAAACTCCCCCCCCAAAACCTCCTTTCCCAGCCTCTGGGGCTGGGCCTGAGATTCCTGCTTCAGTGTCTCATGTGAGGTTAAAGCCTCATGAAAGGGGCTGGTTCGGAGGGGTTAAAACCTGGGTTTCTGCCAGTGTCTCACACCAGGAGCACTGGATAAAAGGGAACTTGTGCAGGAGAAGGTTTATTCCTGAGTTTCCAAAGGAATCCAGATGAGATCCTGCTTCCCGCAGCCGGGGGATGGATTCAGCCTCCCCCAGCCCAGCTCTGCTCCTGTGCTTCTCTAGCTCTTTATTTACGGCCCCATTCGGATCATTCCAGCAATAGTTACTCCCCAGGGAAATCCATCTCCCACTGGAAGCTCCCAGCCAATACAAAGCCCACTGCAGCGGAGGGGATGGGGATGAGCTGGGCTGCTTTTCCCTCCTCCCTTTGGGCGGTGGAGGAAGGGCAGGAGCCCACGGAGGGTGCTGGAGCAGCTTGGGCTCAGCACAGGGGGCAACAGCAGCGATGTGGATGGCAAACCCACCCCCAACCTATGGAAAACCCATTTCCCTTCATCTTTAATGAATTAGCTCCTGCTAATGAAAAGCATCGCATTGCCCTGACATTCCAGCACCCAGCCCAGCCCCGCAGCACTGGTTGCGTATTAAACTGATAAATAATAGATGCTCACCATTAATGAACCCATTGAAAATGGAGATTTTCATGTTAGTTTTCAATTCCCAGCTCCTTTTCGGTTCCCAGACAAGCCATTAGCACATCCTGGGAGCAGAAGGAACTCAGAGCATCGAAATCAATCCTTTTCATTAGCGAATTAAGAGGTGCTTTAACATTTATCTGCTTATTGATAAGAGGAAACCGTGTGTGTGTGTGTGTGTGTGTGTGTGTGTGTGTGTCCCATGAAACCACACTTTGAATCCCGTGTAAACTTTGCAGGATTAAATTTATTAAGCGGGATACATTTCTAATGGCTTCACTTGCTGCACAGATGGAATCTATATTGTAAAGTCATTTTCCAACCCAGCAATGAGCGTGGAGGGGAGATTGATTTTCTTTTATGGCGCAGTAATACAGGCTCATCTATTGCACAGTGGTAAAAGGGATGAAATATGAATATGGAACATGAGGGGAAAAGCCCAGGGTGATGGTTGGCCTGGGACTGGGATGCTCAGAGCACCACAGGGATAAACCCAACTGGGATGTTCAAGGATAACACCAGCGGATGCACCCAGGATGCTTGGTGAGGAGCATCCCCCTTAAAACCATCCCCTTCCTCCAGCAGCTCCAGCCCAAAAGGACCCGTTATTCCTGTTATTCCAGTGAGCTTATTGAAATGGGGCCGATTTAAGTCTGAATGAGCTGAAATGCTTTTGCCTCCTCCCTTTTGGGGGGTGGCAGAAGGGTGGGAGCCCATGAAGGATGCAGGAGTGGCTTGGGAAGAGAAATGAAAGGGGGAGAAAAGGAAATAACAAGACAAATGGGCTTGAAAAAAGGGAATAACAAGACAAAGGGGGTTTAAAACCAGGGAATAACAAGACAAATGGGATTTAATTGGCATAATGGGATCTAATTTGTTTGCAAAAGCCGCCTCACTCCTGACCCAGGGAATTGGCAGCGTGTGGATGAGCCACCGTCTCGGCAGCTTTATGGATCCCCCCTGACATCACCCCTCATTAAATCCACCCTGAGATAGCACTGGAATGAAAGTGTCAGGATAAAGGATGCCGGGGCCTGCTCCGGGCAGGATTGATGTGCTGGGGCAGGGTGTTATCCCTCACCCTCCCCCCTTGGA